TTTTTCAATTGCTCAGAGTGGGAAAAGGGAAGGATATATAAGGGGGGAATAAAAGAAGCCTGCTTTACTCCTCAGTGAAAGAAAAAGTGACCTCTTAATCAAAAGTACAATAAACACCCATGTGTAGCACATATTAGGATAATTCAAGAGAATAATTTACTTTTATTATAATGTGTATAATTATTCAGGGTTCTTACCAAGTAGAGTTATCTCATACATTCATTTTAGTGATTTCTAAGAGCAAAAAAGCTATTTCAGCACACTTTTTGTTGCCATGACTTGTTTTTACATTGCTTCCCCCTATCCAATTGAGCCATTCCTTGTAACATAGAATAAAAAGGAGAAAAACAAATTGGGGCAAAACCAACCCAACACACCAACAGTATCTCAGAGTACATGCAATGCTATGTACCCAAGAAAAGAAGAAAGAGATAGGTTCATTTTCTTAACTTTTTTTCTAGGATCAAACTTGGTTATAATTAGGAGGCATTCAGGCTTTTTCTTCTTTCCATTGACATTATTAGTGTCATTATGTGTATTGTTTTCTTGGTCCTTATTTCACTCCACATTAGTTCATTTAAATCTTGCCATGCTTCTCTGAATTCTTCATATGCTTCATTTTTCACACAACAGTAAGATTACATCATAGTTGTATACTGCAACTTGTCTAGCCATTCCCTGACTGATGGGCTTCTAACTTATTTCCAGTTCTTTTTTGCCTCAAATAGTGTGGCCATAAATATGTTAGTGTACCAAAGACTTTTCTTTTCTGTCTTTGACCACTTTGGGTTTGGTGCCTAGCAGTGGAATCTTTGCATTAAAAGGCATGGACATTTTGCTATTTTCTTAGCATCATTCCAAATTACTTTCTGGACTAGTTGGGGCAATTCATAGCCTCACCAGTATTATATTAGTGTGGTTGTCTTTCTGAAGCGTCTGCAACATTAACTATTTCTATACTTTATCATCTTTGCTGATTTGCTATATATTTGGTCTGAATTGTTTTAGTTTGTATTTCTTTTATTATTATTATTATTAAATTATGATTTGTAGCATTCTTTCATTTGATTGTTAATACTTTGTAATTTTTTGAGAACTTGTTCTTTGGCAATTTATGAGATAGAGAATAGCTCTTGAGCTTATGTATTTGTGTCAATTCCATTTATATATTGAATCTCAGAGATACTTGATGCAAAGATTTTTCCCCCCAGTTAGTGTTTTGCCTTTTTATCTTAGCTGTAAGAACTTTTAAATTTCCTGTAATTAAAATTATATATTTTATCTTTTCTGATATTCACTGTACCTCTTTTGGTTAAGAATTGTCCCCTTAGCTGTAGCTGTGAAAGGTACCTAATCTGGTTCTTTTCTAATATTTTAGTGGTGTGACCTTTTATTTCAGTTGGCTTATGCATTTTGAGCTTATTGTACTATATGATATAAGATATCGGTCTAAAGCTAATTTCTGATAAACTGTTTTCTGGTTTTTCCAGCTTTTCTTATTCAAGTAGAAATTCATTCTAAGTTCTTAGGTTTGTTGAATACTGGGTTATTGTGTTTTATTATTTATGATTCTTCCTTATTCTGTTCTATTGATATACTTTTCTCTTTTTTAATCAATACCAAATAGTTTTGATGATGAGAACTTTATAATGTAATTTGAGGTCTGGTTGGTCCTCCTTATTGCTAGTTCTTTCATCATTTCTCTTGAGATCATAGTTCATTGTTCATTCCAGTAAATTTTGGTTTCTTTTTTTGACTAGCTCTACAAAGTTTCCCTTTGGTAGTTTGGTATTTCACCAAGTAAATTAATTTAGATAGCATCATCATTTGTCTAATATTTCTGTGACCCATAGTCATTTTCAGTGACTATTCCTCCAATTAAGGTCATTATTTCTTTGAAGAATGTCTTATAATTGTGTTTGTATAAGTTTTATCTTCTGTTGGTAGATTGACTCCCATGCATGTTGTTATTTTAAATGAAATTTCCCTTTCTAGTATTTCCTTCTTGATTTTGTTATTGCTAAATAGTAATACTATTTATTTTTGCATGTAATTGAGGGGTTCCTGGAGGAATGCTTTGTCTTCACTGTTTTTATAGTGCCTCTTCAAATGCCTTTGCTTTGAATTAATTGGGTCCCCTGGCTGGCTGGAGTAAATGTAAACTTACCATTGAGAACTCATGACCTGTAGTTTTAGGAGTGTGGACCCATCAAATACTTTGAACCTGGGGTAGTTGTTACTTGGGGAACTCAACCTGAAGGTACAGATGGTATACATGGGGGTGGCATACCAGAGGGGTCACTAAAATTATAAATACGCTTCATGCCTATACATTATGAATACATTCTTTGAGAAAAGAATTGGAAGGCCCTTGACATGGTGAGCATCCAAAAACATCACACAAAAGAAATTATGTCTTAACAGGAAAGAGTATACTTATTACTGATAATCCCCCCCCATCAGCTGTTTTGTGAACAACCAGATCACCAAACTATTAGAGCAAAGATCACTCTCATACTCCCAAGGACCTTCCATTTTAATAGAGGAGACAACAAGGACATATCAGAGTATATACAGAATAAATATAAATGGAGAGGGCACTTGGGGAACCAGAAAAGTCTTTGTGTAGAAGTTGATGTCTGAGCTTCATCTAGAGGGAAGAAAGGAATGCTCTGAAGGTAGAGATAAGGAAGGGGTATATTCTAGTCATGGTGAATGACTAGTGGAAAGGCACAGTGTTGGAGTGCTATGTATGAAGAACAGGGTGAAGACCAGTTTGGTTGGATGGCATGCAGGGTGCTGGAGGGAAGTCATGTTCTGTGAACCCCTGAAGATAGATTGCATCTAGGTTAGGAAGGGCTTTAAAAGCTGATCAGATGAGTTTACTGATGCTTGAGGCTATTGGGAGACGACAGAGTTTATTGAGTAGGGTGAGTGACAAAGTCAGTTCTGCATTTAAGGAAAAAAAATCTCTTTGGCAGTAGTGTGAAGGATGGATTGGAGTGCTGAGAGATTTGAGACACCAGAGATAACAATTAGGAGGCCACTGAGATAATCTAGGCAAGAGCTGATGAGGGCCTGAGCTAAGGTGTTGGCTGGGTGAGTAGAAAGAAGAGGTTGGATTTGAGGGATGTTTTTCAAGTAATAGGCATGATTACATGATGAATATATATTCCTTGTTGGAAGAGGACCTCTAAGGTGACATTTTGCTCAAATGTTTTTTTAATAGTTAACAAATAATAAGCACAGTAGAATCTTGTATTTTCTATATCTTGTAGTCAGTTGTGTGATGATAAAGATATGGGCTCTTGTAGAATGATATTTGCAAAAGTCTGCCCCCTCCATCCTGATACTCTCATTAAGGATGGCCTTAACATACACGTAGACAATTCTGTCCATTGATCACTATTCTTGAAAAACTAATTTTTGTTTTCAATGACACATTTTTTGATAACATCCCATACTATGGAGTTCTTCTTTAGCATTCTCTGCTTGGTAGTTGTTCAAGGCTGCTTACAGACATCGTGTGCCCTGCTATTTCCTCATAGGGGCACTCATTTCAAATTCTTCAGGATCTGTTGTGCTCTCTAACTTGCAGCTGTGCACCACCACCAGAAGTGCACTGGCATTAAAAAGATGGGCATTCATATCAAGGAGAAGTTTGAAGCCATTAAAGGAATTCTGAATTTCCCAAAGATGATCTAGCCCAATATTCTTTTTAATTCTTCTCCTCTTTGATTTGGGGCTGTTCACTTGTGCTGTCAGTACAGAAGATATAAAAGGATCCTGATGATGTGATTGGCATCTTGATTCTGAGTGGAAGCCAAAGCTGTTGGCACTTGCCCACCGTATTGCACCAGATTAAGAACAGTGGTCTGAAGCCTTCTTGCAGAGAAACCGTTGGAGAGAAGTGCAAGGATTACAACTTCATGCTTCATTTCTCAGATCCATTGTGTATCATCCATTCTTCTCACTTGGAGGGAGCTCAACCAAGCCGGTGCCAGCTGGGTATTTCCATTTGAATGTCCTTAGGTGTATTTGACTCAAAACAGTAGAGTCATCTTTGACTTTTTCTCTCTTCTCTCAATCCAGTTACCAAATCTGAAAGAATTTTTTTTTCTGTCCTCTACCATAAATACGTTATTGATTTATGCCTGCATGACTCTAATAGCTTCTTAACTGAGTTCCCTGCTTATATGTCTTTTCCTCTAATCCAGACTGCACATTGCTACCAGGTTAATCTTCCTCAAATTTTAAAATACTCTTCTTTATTAATAAATTTATTTATTTATTTTTAGTTTTCAACGTTCACTTCTGTATGATTTGAGTTCCAAATTTTCTCTCCGTCTCTCCCCTCCCCCACCCCAAGATGGCATGTAAATTGATACAGCCTCAACATATACATTCATATTAAACCTATTTTCACATTAGTCATGTTGTAAAGAAGAATTAGAACAAATGGGAGAAACTATGAGAAAGAAGAAACAAAAAAAAGAGAGAGCAAATAGTATGATTCGATGTGCATTCAGTCTCCATAGTTCTTTTTCTGGATGTGGACAGCATTTTTCATCATGAGTCTTTTGGAGTTGTCTTAGATCCTTGCATTGCTAAGACGACCAAGTCTCTCAGAGTTGGTTGTCACACAATGTGGCTGCGTGTACAGTGTTCTCCTGGTTCTGCTTACTTTACTCAGCATCAGTTCATAAAAGTCTTTTCAGGTTTTTCTGAAGTCCACCTGCTCATCATTTCTTATAGCACAGTAGTATTCTGTTACAGTCATATACCACAACTTGTTCAGCCATTCCCCAGTTGCTGAGCATCCCCTCAACTTCCAATTCTTTGCCACTACAAAAAGAGCTGCTATAAATATTTTTGTACATGTGGATCACTTTCTTATTTGTATGATCTCTTTGGAATACAGACCTGGAAGTGGTATTGCTGGGTCAAAGGGCATGAAGTTTTATAGCCCTTTGTGCATAGTTTCAAATTGCTCTCCATAAAAAAATATGGAACGCTCCACAAATTTCCATGTCATCCTTGCATAAGGGGCCATGTTATTCTTCTCTGTATTTTTAGTACACTTTTAGTACATTTGCTGCTGAAGTACTTGTACTTTTGAAACACTCTTATCAGGTCTCTTTCCTGTCCATAAAATCTTTAGTGGTTCCCTATGACAGTAAGATAAAGTCTAGATTTCTTAACTAGACATTCAAGACCCTTCATATTTATGTCTCTGCTTAGTCTTTCCATATAACTTCCTTTTACTCTTCTACATCCAACCTACATTTTGGTCAAATTGACTCATTTTTCCCCTACTGCTCTTTGTGTTTTTCCACTTCTGTACTTTTGCATTGCCTTTGTCCCAAGCACTCTCCTCACTTTACACCTAGCTGACGTCTACCCCTCCTTAAAGATCCAGCTTAAAATCTCCTTCTCCATGATGCTTTTCTCCTTTAACACCCGCATCATCCTGAAATCTTTTTCTGCTCTGAACTCCCAAACACTCATTGTTTATACCATTCAATTTGCAGTTAATTGTATACTTCCTTGAGACATCTATTGTTGTTGTGAACTGTTATTTGTTTTCTATTTTTATTTAACTTCTCATGTATTTGTTTTGTTTCCTCAGCTAGATTTTTACTCCTTGAAAGCACAAACTATATTTTATGCTTCATTTTCTCTTACGTCACCTAACACAGTAGCCATTACTCAAAAACTACTCATTTTAAAATTTTACTTTAATTCTCTGTTCCATTTGGGACTTTAAAAAATGGATATTGAAATATGCAAGTATATAAATAATAGGGTAAAATAGTTCAACTTGAGGTTTGGTTATGGGTATAAAAAATGTCTGGTTGAGTTAAAATTTGCTTTTATTTAATGTATATGTCCCAATTCTTAAAAAAAAAGCTATTTGAGGAAATTTAAAAGGTTAAAACTAAATTTAATTTGAAGGGAATCTGTCTTAATCAATTGGACTCAGAAGCACTGTCACATAAGAACTGTCATTCAATGCCCAGTAAGTCAAATCTCCTAACTTGCCTTCTTTGCTTGCAAATTCTTGGTTCTACAATAGAAACTTACTAATTAAGGCAAATTAGCCTGCACAAAATGTCTTTCTAGTCAAACTCATACTTGAATAGGACTAGCCTCTATATCATGCCTGACAAATAGTCATTCAGTAATGAAAGACTTCTTGAGGAGGTAGGAAGAAGGATGAGTAGGGGCCACAACTTTCCTAGCAACCTGTTTTGTTTTCAAGCATTAATTGCTCTGAAGATTCCCTTTATTAAAGCCGAATTCCTCTTTCTGCAGCTTTTACCCATTGTTGCTCTGATGTCAAATGGAATTAACTTAACGCATCTTCCGTGTGGCACTCTAAGGCTTATCTTCTGTTCAGCAATCTTCATTCCCCAACCAGTCCTTAGATGGCAAGGTCTATTAGTTTCCTTAGACTCCATCTTAGTTGTCATCTTCTGGATCACATCCATGTTCTTCCTAAAACGGAGGACCCAGTTGAACCTGACACTCTATATGTACTCTATCTGAGGCAGATAGAGTAGGACAATAACCTTTCCCATTGTGGACATGGTACTTTTAATGTAGAATGAATTGCATCTGCTTTTTTTTTTTTGGCTGTCATTTTGCACTTATTACACATGTCATTCACTAAAACTCCCTGGTCTTTTTCATAGGAACTGTTGTCTAGGTATGCCTCCCCCATCTTGTACTTGTAAGGCTAATTTTTTAATGTCAGTGAATGTAAGACTTAATAGTTTTCTCTTTTTAATTTCAGCTTATCTCAGTTTTACAGTATTCATAAAATTGTGTAACCATCTCTTTAGTAATATGTTGTAGATAGTTGAAATATTCTCGGATCCCGATTGTGTCTTTTCTCCTAGCTTTGTGTTAATCTGCAGTTTTGATAAGCATGCCATTTATGTTTTCATCCAAGTCACTGATAAAAATAGTAAATAAAAATAGCACAGGGCCAACTACAGATTTCTGGGATGCTTCTCTAGAGAAACCTTTCGGTTAATGTTGGATCTGATCCTGTAACCAGTTCTGAATCTGCCTAATTGGCCATGTAGCCCATACCTTTCCATCTTATTTGCATGAATAAAATAAGATACTTTGTATAAGATTTCAGAAAAGCATTTTACATTGTCTACAGCATTCCCCTGATCAATTAGGTTTAAGGGAAGTTAAGTTAGTCTGGATTGATTTGTTGTTGATAAAATCATATTACCTCTTAGCAGTCATCATTTCCCTTTGAAAATACTTGCACATCATCTCTTTAATTGGGTTCTGTCCTGAGGCATCTCTCCCATTTTCCATGATCTTTCATATTCATGAACTTTTTGTTTTGAGAACCCTGGAATATAGTTTATTCAGGTCTGGTGACTCAACTGATTTGGAACAACTAGGTGTTTTTTTTTCAAACCATCTTCTTGCTTATCTTCTTTTTCAAATTTCTGTTATTAACAATTTTTGTTCTTTCCACTCAAAATATCATTCTGTCAATCAATATTAATTAAATGTCTGCTATGTGCTAGGCACTGTACTGAGTGCTAGGGATACAAATACAGTCCTTACTGTCAAGGAGCTCATAGTCTAATGGAAGAGACATCATGAAAACAATTATGTATAAACAAGCTACATGAAGGATAAATTTTTCAAATCCAGTCTTAGACACTTACTAGCTGTGTAACCCAGGGCAAGTCACTTAACCCCATTGCCTTTAAAAAAAAGAGAGAGAAATTGGAGACAATTAAGAGGGAAAGCACTAGAATTGTGGAATCTGGAAGGATTTTAGCTGAGATGCAAGCAGTACTGTTAAATTATATTCTATATACAGAAATTAACTTTCAAAAAATATGCAGAATAAATAGTTTAAATACATTCAGTTATATGCAGAGACTTTAGGCTCCAAAAATGTTGCCAAGTAAAATCTTTTAAGGAATTTGCCTAAATTAATAGACCAAGAAGTATAGTTAGAATTTTGTTTTCCTAAAAATGAGTCAAGGTAGTTTAAAAATTATGCTATTTAGTGACTATTGTGTTTTTATACAATGTTTACAAAACTTTTTTTCCTTATAGAAAATGCAAAGATAAAATAACATCTTACCTTGTGTAAATTATCTTAAAATTCTGAATGGGCAGGATCTAAATTTATGATCTTTTAATATATTTTCACTTTAGCAAATAAAATTTCAATAAAATTCTTCCTTAGGTGAAGATAAGGAAAACGTCTTTTTCTTATGTGTACCAGTCCTTAAAACTTTGGTGATAATTAATGGTGTTCAACAGAACCAGACATCTTCAAGTTTACATGCATTTAAAAGTAAATGCCAGCATTTTTTTTATTATCCACATTATATCAGTGGTATACCATTAAAATACCATTAGAAACAAGTGAATCCTGCTTTAAGAAAATACTGACCCAGGGTCTTGTTTACCTTCAGTGATAATGCTAGATTTAGAGTCAGAAGACATGAATTAGAGCACATCATATACTCTGACCTTGGACAAATCACTTTACATGCCTAAGTTTTTTCCTCTATAAAATGAGGATAATAATACTTTCACTGCCTTCAAAATTAAGAGAAAATTTATATTTTAAAACTAAGGAGCACCAAATTCAGAATGTGGGGAAATGGTACATTCTAGTTAACTGAGATTCTAGGTAACTGAGAATTTCCATATATAACAAACCTGAATTATAAATTTTCAGAGAATTAATATATCATAAAACATGTTTAAATTATTCAGGACATTATTTAAATCTCTGGTTCAGATGACAATAGAAAATTTTGCCCTGAACTTCAGTTATTTTTTATAAATACTAGTTATAATAGTATCAAGTTAAAGATATAAAAACAGCAGGAGATTGATTTGAATCTGTACTGACATGATATCTGTTGCTTTTCCTTCTATAAGTAAAAAAATAAATTGTACAAAAAAGAAGAATTCTGATAATCTGTATTTTCCAGTTTGGATTATTGATATGGGAGTTTAGTGTATTTGACATTCATATTTAAAAAAGAAGATTAGTTGGGAAGTTATTGAAAAATAGTTGGGAAGTTTATGAAAAAATTCTCCAGAATACCTGAAAGCATCAGTTTCTTTTTTTTTTTAAATCTACTTTTTTTATTATTAACTTAACAGGTAACTTAACAGTGAATAGGAACAAAAAGGGATTGTATATGAGACTAAATTTCTGTTATGTACTTTGCTTTTTTAAAGAATATATTAAGTTTAACTTGGTAGTAACAAAACTTCCCTGCTTGACTCTATCTCCATCTGATCTTCCTTCTGTTTGTTTTAGAAACTGTTTCATTGATGCTTTTTATTTCCCTTTTCCTTTTGTGGGCATCATTGTCACTTGTCCACCTTGCCTTTAGCAAATATGTACAGTCGAGCAAAAAAGAATCAACACATAGTGTGAACCTCAGATCTGTCACCTCTTTGCAGAAAGATGGGAAGCCTGCTTTATCATCAGACCAGTCATGACTAGTCATTGATCAGAGTTCCAAAGTCTTTTAGAGTTGTTTTCCTTTACATTATTGTGATCATTGTGTAAATTGTTTTCCTGGTTCTGCTTACTTCACACAAATATCCCTGGGTTTCTCTGAATCTATCATATTTCTTTCAGTATAATATATTTATTTGTATACCATCATTTGTTCAGCAATTCCCTCAGATCAAGTTTCTGTGGTACATTGGTACTTCACAAATTGCTGCAGTTTAGTATAATGGATAGAGGAATATATTTGGAAGATACCCTAATTTTACAGTTGAGGGAACTGAGGCCCATAGAGGTAAAGTGATTGAACAAAGGCAAATGGAAGATCATCTAGTTGGGCTTAATGCTCCTTAAGGTGTCTTCAGTCCTAAATCCACAAGCCCATAAATTCTGGAAAGATAAATGCTGAGGATCAGAGAAACTTAAGGCTGTAAATGTTAGTCTCTAATTCCATTTGAAGAGTAGTCATAAATAGATAATGAAATTATGTCATTTGATGTTTTCATAGGATTTGGTTTGGTCTGTGAAAAAATAGATTTGGGTGATATAGTATTAGGGTGCAGTTGACAACCTCCCATTAT